TGATTCCAAAAGTGGCAGCGGAATTATTTAGCTGAAGCGCTGGAATTCCTAAAAAAATTGAAAATTATGGATAAAAATGAACGAGATGTGAGCAAGAGAGTGAAATTTCATAAATGTTGGCAGATAACTATAAACAGCCTTTTAAAACTGTGGGATAAACTAGCACAATCTGGTTTTAAATATTTAAAAACTAGGCTCCTCAATACAGATTGTTTGGAAAAAAATTTTGGCACCATAAGGCAACAGGGCGGTAACAATGTTAATCCAACGCCAATACAGTTTCAGAGAGCATTTAGGAAGTTGTTTTATCAAAGTTTCCTGCACTCGGAACACATGAATTGTAAGGATGACTTGGATCAACTTTTGCTCAATTTAAAGTCTTCAAATGTTACTGGGATATTTGAAGTCAACGCAATTGACCCAGAGCAGGCAAGAGCAGTAACTCTTCCAGATTATAGTTATAGGAGAGAGGCAATGCCACTGCAGAATGCATTTACATACGTTTGCGGTTACATAATGAACAAAGTATTACAAGTACACGATTGTGAAACATGTGAAAGATTTGGTTCCGAATATAAAAAGCTGGATGTCTCCAGACTACTAACTCATTTCAAGTCTTACTCTTCTGATAGTACGTTTGGGAATTTACAGTCTCCATCTGAAGAATTTTGTAATTATATATACAAACTGGATTGTTTATTTACATCTCAGTTTGAAAATATTTGTACCAGACGAGCCTTATCCCATAGATTGTTACAGCAAATGAAAACAATAAATTTTACGCCAGCTTGTCCACATTTTCCTACAGAATATTTATTAAAATTATTTATCAGGTTGAAAATTTTTTATACTGTAAAATACGCTAACAGGGATGTTAAAAGCGATAAAGGAAATAAAGCAGCGAGGAAGCTAAAAATATTATCACACACATAAAATTGTATCACCCACAAATGCAGTGGTCTAAAATAGGCTACACTTAGTTTTTTTTTTAATTAGGTAGGTGACGGCTGCAAGCGTAGTTTTTGACTATTGCGTAAAAAATTTTTGACTTTTTATTATATATACATATTTTTTAAATGTTTCAGTGTTTTATTTATTTAAAATCTGATTGCCACTTTTAAGATATTATCACATATATTTACCTCCAGAAAGTCAAAGGCATATAATTTTAAATGCAAAATAAAAATTTACTCCCTTACTAAAAACATATTTAGAGTTGAGCAGTGTAAATTACAAATTTCCGCGCGATCGCGAGCCAATTCAGCTTGCGTGCAGTGTAGTTATGGTGTCTTCAAGGTCACCGCAAATCGACCCCACAAACATCAAATGTTCCGATAAAGCTGTCGCTTCTCGGCGTTTTGTTATTCTCGGGTTTTACTATATACTAGGTGTATAAAAAAAAAACCAAAATCATTAAGAAATTCACAAAAAACACAAACATTAAAAACTAAAAAACAACTTATCAAATCAACGAATGGGCAAATGATAAACACAAGCAGATAAAAATTTCAAGCCAAACAAATGTCAAATTGTAAGTCATTAAAAATATTTTATGCGCACATTTAAAATCCGAAGAAGAGTCAAAGATTTTTCCAACCGTTCCCAATCAGTTGGGAATACTTCATATTTAATTTTACAAATGCAAAACTAATAATATAATTGGAAACTATCAGTGATTCTTCTACTAATGCGAGACTAATGCAAAATATTCAATGAGCATGCGCTGTTCGGTTCTAAACGGTTATGGACCGTGAGAAGTGTACTGAGACCATGGAGGAAGGATTATTAAGAGTTGCCGTTTCTTTGTAGAAATTTGGCAACATGTTTGCTTGCAGCGACCTGTGGGGGGAAGGAGTAGAACTAATCTTACTCTGTCGGTAGTGTAGTTACCAGCAGTATTACCATCAACTCTTACTCTGTCGGCAATGCAGTTACCCGTAATTTTATATTTAATTTGAAAACTGGCGGTTTTTTTTTAAAGGAGAATTTACTTTTGCAATTATTTTTTAACTAATACGAAATATAGCCATACAAAATTTTAACTAGGTTACTTGAAAATTTTTTGTGATTTTTTAATATTAATTTCTCAATAAGTTCCACGGTTTACTATATATATTTTATTGTATAAAACAAAATCTAAATATTTCAAAAACCTTATTTTTAGTTTTTTTCTACTCCATCTAATCAATAAATAATAGTATAATTCGAGAATTGTTGTTGAGAACTTACTTTCTCGTGAGGCACTGTACATATACTCACATTTAAAAAAAAAAAAATTTTTAAAATTTGCAAGGTAAGGTATAGTTAAAAGTTCAGTATTAGATAAATAAGGAATTCAATAATTAGAAAAAAATTAATTTTAGTCATAATCTAAAAACTTTTTTTTTTACATTTGAGGCGAGAGGTGTGGCGAAAGGACCTCCTTAAAAAGTAGTCTCATCATAGACTAGGCCACGATTCGCATCTGATGTAAACCATTTAAAATTAACATGGTCTGGCAAAAAAGTTTAATTTTTTGAATTATGTTGTCAATATGACCCTAAAGTGGTAAAACTATTCCATGAACTTTTATAAGAAATTCAATAACAATTCCTTGTCCATAAACAAAACGTCTTTTATCATCATTTTCTTTAAAATAAGTAAAAGTATCGATGGTCTTCTAACATGTCTGTAAATTAACTTTACACTCTTTACAGTCAAAACTATTCAGTTTCTTAACAAACCCTGCAACATAACTAGTGGCCTGACTCAAATTCTGCTTCATTTATTAATTTTGTATATAATATTAAAGTGAACTTTATCTTCACAGGACTCTGTTTGGAGGTGTGATAACAAGTACCTTTGGTGTATCTGGTTTTGAGGATGCTAAAGCAAGGCAAAGCAAATCTTTTAGCAGTCTTGAACGATTTGTGTTTGTAAACGATTTTGTATCAAAATATGATTTTCACATAATGTATAATGATTGGTTGTAAGTGGAATGAGTAGAATGTTTAAAATACGACACCATTTCTTTCTTTGATCAGGATCAGAAGGAAATTTAAAAATGTTTGTTCTTAAAATTTAAGTTTGAAATGGGCCTTATAAAATGTACTATAACAATTAGAAATTATGCGTTTATAATGAATTCTGCCTGGTAAAGACATGTTAAAGCATCAAAATATCTTTACTTGATTTTAAATAATCCTAAATAACATATCTAAAAAAATAAATAAAAGTAGTTCCACTCACATGTTTTCGTCGGCAACCAAAACCATAACATAACCACACATTTATTTGATTTTGATGGTATTTGTTGACAGCGCGCGCGGGGCCCGCTATAGCGGGCAGCCAGGGGGGCTATTTTCAAAGTCGAGAGAATTCATTTCTCTCGAGAGAAATGTCATACGTCAACGTAAAACAGTAATTTTTAGGGTCCTAAGGGCCAGTGTGAACTCACTGATTGTTTCTCACGGTTTATTTAGAGATAATTAATATCCTCCTAAGAATTTTAATCCTCGAGGCCTTTAAAAACAGCGTTTCCACATTGACGTATGACATTTCTGATGAGAATCTTGAGAGAAATGAGTGCTCCCATACTTTGAAAATAGCCCCCCCAGTAGTCATGCAGCGGACAAAAAGCCATCTTCACATAGTACAAATAACTAAGTGAAGGCATGTTGTTTTTAGTTTGTTGTAATATATGAATTAAAATTTTTGAGACAACACTTTTTGTGTGTTACTGAACGAGATGTTATTAAATTAATCAATGTGCTTTACATTTTAATACAATTTTGCTATTGTAAAACGGACTTCAGAGCACCCAAGCGCGGAGTTGCATGCGCTGAAACGTGTTTACGTATTGTGCATATGATATAAATCCCCGTGAGTGAGATTACCGAGTCGAGTATGTACCCATTCTTTATGCTGAATAGGAACGTGCTAGATCCATACATACCATCCACCCCTTGCTTTTTCATCCGCTACAAGGTCCTGAGGTGATAAAATTCGTCAGATTTATATGTCTTACTTTCTAAAGGGCACGAAAGTTGACTTATAATCATCATTTAGCCAGATTCTTAGATAAGCTTTTAGAACTGGCGTCGTATTTGTGTTTGGCACTCGCGTTTAGTGTATCTCATGTTCTGTAACCCCTCAAGGTGAGCCCAGATTGTCACCCCAAGTGGTACGAGTCGGGTTAACGAAATACAGTTGATCGTGTGTTGTTTGATGATCATCTGTTGTGGAAAAGTAAAGTGTCTACAGCATAATCACCCGAATTAGTCCATTATTTCAAAATTATTAAAGGCGAGGTTGTATGTGAGTGTAGAGATTACTTTTACACCTGATAGAACGAGTCGTTTCTGTCCTATTAGAAGCTGATTCAAATATATCATTATTAAGCTATTACCAATCAAGCTACCGATAATGCTTAGCTCAGCTCAGCCTACTTTAGAGAGAGTCATCAGAAGCCAGAATATATTTTTTTGTAAAAGAAGGAACACCTCAAGTATTAAAGTAATACACTTTTCCATATAATGATACCGGTCGAACATTTAGCGCACTTCATCAGTTGAGACACATGAAAAATGGTGAAAAAGTCATGCGGAAACGGTAACTCTATTCAATTACAAAAGGTATCTTTATTGGCTGTGCACCACACCATCGACAATTACTCCATTTACGACGCATCCATGATAAGAAACATGCCAATAACCTAAAATTGCGGCTTCCGATAACAGCATTTCATCATCTATCTTGATAATTTCTGGTTAGATTATACACAACACAAAAAACTACTTTATTTTGCATCCATTTGGAGTGACCGTGAATTGACATTTTCTAAACGTTAAATCCATTTGGATGCCTTTCTATTTGAAGTGCTGTGAATGGGGCCTTTAAATTTATGCTCCTAACTCTTGATCTGTATGGATTAAATAAATTTTGAAATTTTATTTGCAGAATTTTTCAGACCTGTTGCGACCAAATTTTTTTTTATAATTATCTTTTTTAATTTGTTTCAGTGGTTCTATATAGGGAGGTTGCTCCAGGTGAGTGGGAACCCGAAATAGTAACAAACAGTTTGAGTGGCTACAACATCAGTGAGGATGATGTTAAGATATATTTCACATCTCAGTCTCATCAAGGTAACCTGAAACGAGTAAATCTTAATAATCCAATAGAAGTAAATAACGATGGGTATTCAAATGAAAAGGTATTTATTATTAATTATGTCTATTGTAATGAGAAACAACTACAAACTTTTTATAAGTCGGAAAGTAGGATATTTGGAGTTTTAGTTTCCTCCCGTGTGCAAGAAGTAACATTCAAATGCCCACTATCCCCTCTCAGAACGAATTCTCTTTATAATATGTCGTAATAACCCTAGTCGATAAATCGAAAGTACTACAAATCTTCTCGAACAGAGAGCCATTTGTGTCATTTCTCGTATATTTGAAAAATAATATAATTTATCACATTTGATTATGTTTTGCCTACCAGATGCAAAACATATTTTGTTTTTAAATTCACAGATCAAAAAATAAATAAGTAAATTATTGTTATAAAATTCCTCAAATTCATTACTCGCCCAGTATATTTCTGAAATATAATATATAAAATAAATTTTAAATTTTATAATTTAAAAATTTTAACCAAAATATTCAAATTCTCTCGATTGGTCACTAGTTCCCGATTTGAAATGTTGATTTTATCCTTTTTTAATTTATTCATCACAAAGATATAAAGTATTTACTATTAATTCTAATTCCAGGGTTTTATTTCTAAACTAATTTAATAACTATCTAAATCTACACTTTATATTTATACAAATCTTGTACATGAAATATCCCTCGTACTGTACCATTTTCCAAATTCTGAAATATGTAACTATTGACTATTACATCATTTATTTTACACATTTCACATTCATTTATCCCAGTTATCTCCCACAAATCACATATTTTCTTGTATTTTAAACCATTTTATATATTTAATTCTGTGTTCTTTGCTTAATCCGTCCCCATCTAAATTTTCCTACTTTTCTTTTACCCCTGTCTAAATTCTCTCCTTTTCTATCAACCTCTGATTTGAACTATTTCCCCCTATCTAATCTAATTTTCCTTTCATACTTATTTTGAACATGTTTTGATTTTACCCTACTATTACTTTATTTATTTATTTTTATTTCATCCTCCTGTGTTTGTTTTAGTTGTATTTTATTTTAATACCTTCATATTTCTTCTACCTAATTCTACAAATATAATTTCCTTTCTCATTTAGCTTGTTTTCTATTTTCCTTTTTAATTATTTAATGTTTGTTTTTCTTTTACTAATTTTGTAATCTTCTTTTTCTAATTTAATTCTAAATTTTCGTTCATCTATTTATTTCCGTTACTTTTTTCTAATCTACATCTTTCTTCTCTTATTTTCTTTTCTTATTTTCTTTGTTACTTTACTATATGTTCCTATCATTTTATCTATCATCTATATTATTTCTCCTTTATCTTGTTTTCTATTTTCATCCATTTTTCTACAGTTTTTATCCATTTTCTTACTGTTTTCCTCTTTATCCATTTTCCACAGTTCTCATCCATTTTCTTCAATAATTCTTCCTTATCTTCTTTTCTATTTTTATCTAAGTTCTTTAATATTTCTTGACTATCTTCTTTCCTATTTTTATCTTATTTCTTCAATAATTCTTCCTTATTTTTATGTCCCTCTTTCTTCATTTCTAGCAGCATCTTTACAATTGAATTTCTCTTTCCTTCTCTCATATGCAGTTCTATTTTTTTTTCGTCCGTTATTGTTGCCTTCTGAAGCTGTGTTTCTTTGGTAATTATATCTTCTGAACCTTGCTTTTCTATATTCCCTGGTCCTAATTATCCTACATTCTCAGCATCTTTGTCCTGTTCTTCTATCAAATCAACCTTCTTCTCTTGCAAGTTTATCTAATATATCATTTTTAAACTTTAACACCTTTTTATGAAACACTTTATATTCCACCTACACATGTTTTTATCAGTTTGGCTGTCTTAACTTAAATCGTCATTTTCTGGACTAGTACTGTTCTTTGACTCACCGATTCAATTCTTTTTCGTTTTAAATGTCAGTTTTAATTTTATTCATAGCCGCTCTTAGGTCCTTATTTATAAACAGAACTCAGCTGAGTCGGACTTAAGTGAGTCGTCCTTGAACGAAAATCAAAGTTCGGTTATAGCGCGTAAATTTAGAGAAAGGTAGTAACAAATCCGTAAATGTACATAACCGTTATGGATTTGCTATTGTCCATCTCTAAATTCCAGTGCAACACCGAAACTACCTTGAACTCTCGAGAAGTTATAACCGAATTTCGATTTTCGTTCAAGGACAACTGATCCAAGTCCGACTAAGCTGAGTTCTGTTTATAAATACGGGCCTTAGTTGTCGTGGGGATGACTCATATCTCTATCTTCGTCTATTTTAGCTTATTTGGAAACATTTTTTGTGGATAACTTTTTATTAGTAAAAACTTTAATACCCACGTTTTCTCATTTCTGTTAAATTGATTTAATGGTAGGTGCCTATTAAATAAAATGTTTAGTATCCAAAAGTAAATTTTAAAAATTTTATCACATGTGATGGCAAGTGACGAGGAACCAACTAAATTAAATTTGCTTGAGGAGATATTTTTGAACGACCTCTATTAAAATATTTAATAATCACAATAAGTGTGGTTTAATAGATAGAGTATTTAAAACTGCAAATATCCATCATTAAAACCATTAACATCAGTTATTAAATTATCAATACATATGAACTAATAGCTATTTGTCTATTAGGAGCGAAGAGTGATACTTTGCCGTTTGAAACAGAAAGTTGCCCGTGCGACGCTTAGCGGAGCGCGGCAGTCTGTCGAAAGTGGCAACAAACTTTTTCCTCAAAATGCACACAAGATTTTTTTCCATGATCACACTTTTAAAGAAATAGATATAAAATCTGAAAATTTATCGTAAGTAGTGTATACGGCGAACATGAAAAAGCAGTTGATATTCAAAGTCCATGTTAACTTGGATAATATAACAAAAACCAAGTAACTACGTAAAAATAACTTGAAAATCATATACAAACAAGACATATTATTATATTATAGCTAATTTAAATTAGGCAAGCAACAAAGCTGTCAACTTTGTCGCTCGGCGAGCCACAAAGCTGTCACTTTGTCAGTTCGCGGAAAACGTCAACTGTGCGGTTGGATTTCGAAGTGCAGAAAGTCTATTTTTAATAGTTATCGTAGAAAAACTCTATTAGGCTGTTCAATATCTCTTATAACGTTGTTTAAAGTATTTATTAATGACTATTGGTTTCTTATATTACACTGTATGATACCCGTTATCAAATTTATTTACTAAGGTTAAAGAAATATTTTTATTACTCGTAGTTGGATTGTGATAGCAACACTGATCCAAGAACAAAAATGAAATAGTGTTTTTTTCCGGTTTATATCTTCATTGAAATAAAACGTTGATTGGTCAGAAAATAAAATCTTATTAAAGAAATCATGTTGGTAAATCAAATATATTCGCAGAAACAAGTTCTTCTGACAATCATCTTCAAAAAATTCATGGATATTTCGTACTTTGTAATAACAGTATTTTACTTTTTTAAAAACTATTTCCAATATTGCTCTGGTGCATTAATTTTTAATTTTATCTAGATATGTTTAAAATAATATAATTTGATAGGATACCGTCTTCATTATCCATGGTTGGCAAAACGAACACAAGTCCCCAATCTGCGAAGAAATAACAGAAGCTGTTCTAAAAGTCAAGGATGCCAACGTTTTCGTTGTCGATTGGAAAAATGTCGCTAAGCAAGTGTATCCCCTCGCACAAGCTGCTGTGGACGATGTTGCAAAAACTGTCAGCCGACTTATTGTTAGTTTAATAAATTATAATGCATTGGATTTGAATAAGACGTTCATTGTTGGACACTCTCTTGGAGCTCATGTCGCTGGATTCTGTGGAGCTAATCTTAAAGGAAAGATTAACCATATAGTGGGTGAGTTCTTCTTCTTAATATTTAGCTTGTCCATCATTTATATTTAAAGCCAATTATTATTTAACGTTTGTTACCGAATAGTCTAATCATGATTTTAATATTTAGGTTTAGATCCAGCTCTTCCTCTGTATGAATTGGCTAACAAGGACGCTCGTCTAGATCCCTCTGATGCACAATTTGTTCAAGTTATCCACTCATGCGCAGGAGTATTGGGCTTTAACAGAAATATAGGACATGTAGATTATTGGCCCAATGGTGGCAGTAACCAACCGGGGTGTGGAGGACTCTTGGATGTTGGAGGTAAAAATAAGTATTCGGTTTATAATAAGATAAAATCCAATGATTGAGTTTTTTTTTTATTTTCTGAGTTATTAAGATGCGGTTTATATTTTATTAGAGGAGTAAAATTTGGACATTTAAAATTTTTTTTATTTTTCACAGTTAGTTAGGATTTCATCTTGTGTCATCGTAGTTCGTCAGTATCGGGTTTTTGGGGGTTTTGTAACTTAGATTTGATCTAACGACGCCACGACGACCTCTAGCTCGCCACGCAATATTATGCATAGCTCGGGGATCCGCAAGAATCAAAATACAACCTGGAGATCAAACATTTATTAATTCTACTAATCGGTGGCAATCGGAAAAACAAACAGAAAACACAATATAACAATATACAGAATACAAAATAGAGAGTTCGCCTAGCAAGTAAAATGCCAAATATGTACACTATATTAACCTTTGGACTTACCACAATATACTTCTTAAGGGCACGTCCACAAATTCTTTTTTACTGTTAAATTTATTTTAATAATATTTTAATTCTGAAAATTATTAGACACCTTTTTTCGCGGAACGCGTAGCTCAAGTCTGCGCTGTTGCTCTTGCTCAGGACTTTCCTGAATGCATCTGTTTTTGGGACAATTACCTTCATGACTCATTATCTGATTTTGCTCATTCATCAAGTTAATACAACTAACGATATTTTGATTTATACTTTTAACAGATTCTAAAATTAGCAAATTTTATTATTGTTTAATACGAAAGGAAATATTTTATTAAAATTGAGAATTGTTAGCTATTATATTACTGGAATTTTAATTAATGGTACCTATTTCAAATGAATTAAATATTTTAAGGTGAAGGGTGAGAAAAAGTCCTTTATATCTCACAGGGAAAGCCAATGTTTAATTGTTTAACAAAACATTGAGTGTGACCGGTTTCGAAGTGTCATCACTTCATCTTCAGGCTCGCCTAGTGGAAAGGAGAATATGTGGTGTAAGGTGTGTTGGAAACAAAACGATATATAAAATAATAAAGAGAAAACTCACCGTACTCTCCATTCACTAGGGAATACTACAAAAACAAGTTTCATCAATTTTGGGTTGAAATAAATTGTAAAATGAACCGATTTACACGTAATAAAAAGTTAAAAATATTTGAAAAAACAAATATTAGTCAATTATAGTAAAAATTTTAAAATATTCAAGACTATACAAAAACAAATCACATACATTAAACAGATTAAAAGATAAGGCCTATTTTAAACATTGTTGTTTTTTAAAAAAAAAAAATTTACATTTTTTGAAAGGAGACCTGTCAAGTTAAGGCCTCTACAGGTGGTGGTAAGTATTATAACGAAAAAATTCTTGGGTAAACTTATGACAGGGTATAGTTAATAAGATGTAAACTATGAGTGAAGAATTATTTATTATCTATTATATAAGATTTGTGCCATGAACCAATCACCAAGTGTATGTGATGTTGTAGGAAGAAGAAAGAAGAAGAAATGACTGGGTTAACTGTTGTGAAGCAACTGAAGAATAAAAGAAGAAGAAAATGACGCATGTGGATATCAGACAATCTAACCTAATCTTTACACGTGCTCGTTGGTTTCTTATGGGAAAAAATATAAAAATTACTTACTGAAATGTACCCCTTGCAAGAAGATATGTGAATAGAAATAAAGGGGGGAGGTTAAAAAGGAAGTTAGAACGATAAATTTAGATTAGTGTTGAGAAAACAGGAGGAGTTTCTGGCAATATCTGGGCATTTAAGCAACCAACAGGATTTAATTTTAAATGTCTCAATATCTCGAGGTTTTCGAAGCTATTAAGAGTAAATCTATTGTAGGAACTAAGAAGGATTTCGAAACCTTCAGTTGAATCGAAGTCGTGATTTGAGTCCAGTAGGTGGTTGGCAAAATGTAAAAAACCTGTTGTATTTTGGTTAAGACAACGTAAATGTTCTTTTAAACGGATCTTGAAATTTCGAAATGTGCGTCCCACATAGAAAGAATGGCAAGATTTACAAGTTAATTTATAAATTCCAGATAAGTCAAAGGGATCTAATTTATCTTTATTATGAACAAATAACTTATGTAATGAGGAGGGGGTTTTGAAAGATACTTTAAAGTGGTCTTTGAGTAAGCTAGCCACTTTATAGGATGCTTTTCCAATAAAGGTAAGAGAAATGTATTTCTTACTGGTGGTTAGTTCATGTACCATATTAGGATTGTTAATATTAACTAAATTTTGTTGAATTTTATTTTGTTTATGTGTTAGCATTTTATCAATAATATCTAGTTCAAAGTTGTGATCTATAGCAATAGTTTTAATTATATTTAGTTCCTTATTAAAGTTTTCCGTAGACAGAGGAACGTTTAATAGCCTCTCTAAGTAGCAATTAAAGGCAGCCAATTTATGTGTTGCTGGATGGTTAGAGGTATTGTCTATAACTGTGCCTGTATGTGTTGGCTTTCTATAGATGTCAAAGTTGAACTTGTTATTATTGTGTGAGATTTTAAGATCTAAAAAGTTAATAGATTTGTTTATTTCAATTTCTAATGTGAATTTAATATTAGAATGTCGTTAATATAAGTCAAGAAGTCATTTAATGAGTCTAAGTTACCTGACCACAAAATCAAAATATCATCAACATATCTATAATAGAATTTCACATTTGAGTGGAAAAGGTTGTTTTTAAGGATTTTTTCTTTTTCAAAATTGTGCATAAATATGTCTGCTAGTATTATGCTAAGTGGAGATCCCATAGAAAGTCCATTTGTTTGTGAAAAAATTTCATTGTTGAATGAAAAAAAGTTTTGTTCTAAACAAACCTTGAGAAGGTTCAAAAATTCTACTAGTTCAATATCAGACATATTAGAACTTGACAAATGTGATTCAACAAAACCTAGAACTTCTGGTATAGCAATATTTGTGAATAAGTTTGAAACATCTAAAGAGATCAAAGAATCTGTATCATTAATGTGAACATTTTTGATGTTGTTTACAAGTTGTACACTATTTTTGACTGTATGTGTAAAGTGATCTTTATAATGGATTTTGAGTATGTCATTCAACCATTTTGATGTATAATATTATAGGCGATTTTAAATCAGTTACTAGAAATGTGACCAAGTCAAGTGTGGTCAAGGTGCTTACGTCATTATAATGACGTTATATTATCTGATTTAAAAATGTTTGATTTATATTGACACTAACTTGACAATGCGAATGACATTGTCAATCGCGAATTTTTGTGTATTATGTATTATAGTTAGGATTTGGTTTTGAATTTGTAAGGATAAACAAGAAACAAGTTATAAATGTAATTTTAAAAAACCGACTTCAAAATCGTGCAGATGCCATCACCACATCTTGACCAAACTTAAAGGGGGACCACCTCTAAGTTGTCCCTTTACTAACAAAACAAAGAATCATAGAAATCGGACAAGGTTGTAAAGAATTACCACTAAACTTACATAAAAAATGAAGAGTTTGAGGATTTTCTAATGGACTCAATTATTAGATTTTGACCAAATTGATGTGGGACCACCCCTGAAGTAACAAAAAGAAAAAACATTAAAACCGGACACCATGTTAAAGAATTATCGCTGAACATACGTAAAAAAATATATTACGACGAATTGAGAACCTCCTCCTTTTTTGAAGTCAGTTAATAAATATTTGTTTTGTGTACTGATCACAGATGAAGAGAAAATTGGTGTTGTAGTTGCTAATTTGTGTTGTAGGGTCTTTGGCGTCAGAAATTTTATCAAACCTTTTGCCATGTTCATCAGTAAATCTTGGCTATCTTCAAAAATAAATTGGCTTTTCATTTACAGAAACCTTTTATTGCGTTCATATCTAGGTACTAAGCTAGGGTTGCCAGACGACTCGCTTTAGGCGAAATTGTTGGCACGCGTTACGCCAAAGTACGAAAATGACCCACATTTTAACTAAATGCTACGCTTTTTCAATCCAAAGTTATAGATAAAGAAATGTTTGACCTTTTTTCAGAATATCCTCAAAAAAAGGACCTGATAGTTTATAAAAACATAAGTGGAGAACTTTTTTTAGATCTCCACAAAGAAAGGATCTTATTTTATAAAAATACCTGTTTTTTTAACCTGATCTTTGTCGTCATCGTTATCCCGCTTTTCCCTTTCATAAATCTAGCAACCCTATACTCAGCCTTTCTTTCGATTTTACAAATAACACAACCAAACAATAATTTAATAATTAAAAAGTAAAAGTTTTACATTTGTCATTTCATTTGACATTTCATACCTGTGATGACTACGTTTTTACTGTAGTCATGTCAAACTTGACCATTTCAAGACTATATTCAATATGACGTCATTGTTTTTGATTTATATCAGTGTAGTCAATCATATTCAAGACCAAGTAACTGATTTAAAATCGCCTTATGTTGGTGAATTTATATATGACACGACAGGGCGGATCGGTATGTCATCAAAATTGTCAGATTTGTGTATTTTGAGAAGGCCATATAGCCTAGGTATTAATTTGTGATCTGGTTTGAATTTATTAAACAAGGAATCATTAATCAAATGTGTACAATTTTTAAGGGTAGTTTTAAATTTGGTATTATACTTATTTAAGGGGTTAGTGATTATAACGAAACTGTTAGTGTTTAAAAAGTTGTAAACTTTAGACAAGTAATCAAATTTGTTCAGAATTAATAGACAATTGCCTTTATCTGCTTTTGTCAATATTAGGTCATTATTTTTAATCTTTTTATTAATGTTTTTAATTAAATTATCATTAAAAGTGCCTCTTGAAGAGAGATTATTTAATAACGTTTCTTTTTCTTTTTTGAATATGTTAACTAATCCATATCTAAGATCTTCTTTATTGTCAATTTCAAAGTTTTGTAAAATGGACTCTGCTTCTACTGCTAGTAGTTCTAAGTTTTTATTAAGTGAAGTGGCATTTGATCTAGTTGGATTAAATTTTATACCCTTGTTAAGGAGGTCAATTTCAGTTTCTGTAAAAGTA